CCTCAATGTAGCCCGTGACCTATGATGGGCCATACCTGGGGGTTCACATCAGGAACAGCGTTGGGCATACCGATGTTGTTCTGCCTAACCCCCATACGAACACTGACGGGCACATCAGTTCACCACGACGTCCGCCAGGACAGGGTGGAGCGCCATGATCGGCACACGATGCCTGCACGTGACGCCAGTGATGGACAGGGCCGCAACGAGAAGCTATCCCTGTTGACCTCTATAGGGTCGGTGGGACCCACATAAAGGAGGAGAAGGACCCGGTGATCCTGAAGGACTTCTTCCTCCTCTCATTCTCTTCTCTTCCTCCATTGTAACCCGTGCTCTCCCTTGGCCTATAAAAGAGAAAGCAGGGCATCCCACAAGGGACATCCAAACTCGTCTCGAGACCAAACTTGACTCAAATCCAATTAAATCATCGAACCCCGAACATACAACTGAGCAGTGATCGAGCCCTCGGTGCCCGTTCACTCCTCTCACCAGAGACTTAGGACTTGTCCCTCTCTCAAAAGTTTATAACCCCTACTATGAACTTTTAGTGCTAGTAACACAAGCAGCAGCAACGAACTAGACGTAGGAACATTCTGCCCGAACCAGTATAAACCTGGTGTCCTCTTAGCACACCATCCGGGCCAGACGCGCAATATTAGAAATTTACTTGTTGGTGGCAAATCGAAACACCGACAATAGCCCTTCGAGCAGCTTCTCAAAGTGGTTCAGGGTACCCTCCATGGGCTTCTAGCCCCCCTTGCAATCGACAGTGGCCACGAGCGAGCCCTCATACCGCTGCTTGTTCTTCTTCTTGACGGGATGGTTGGAGGCGCCTTTGCTGGCGTCCTCGTCCCGCTTCGCCTTGCCTTTGAGGCGATCGAAGGTCGCTCCGACCGTCTCCTCGCCCGAGGCATGGCTAGTGGCGATGTCGAGGAGCTCCTTGGTGGTTCGCGGGCCCTTACATCCCAACTTGTGAACCAGGGATTCGTAGGTGGTCCTAGACAAGAAAGCTCCAATAATGTCGGCGTCGGTGATATTAGGCAGCTCGTTGCACTGCCAGGAGAAGCGCCGAATGTATCCACGGAGGGTTTCCCCAGCCTGCAGTCGATAGTTTTTGAGATCCCGTGGGTTCCCAGGACGCTTGTAGTGCCCTAGAAGTTCTCCACGAAGATCCCTTTCAGGTACGCCCAACTTTGAATTCTGTTGGGTGGAAGGTGTTCCAACCATGTTCGTGCCGAATCGGCCAAGAACAATGGAAGGCTGCGGATAATGAAGTCGTCATTATTCGCTCCACCGGCTTGGCAAGCAAGCTCATAATCCTTGAGCCATAGTTCGGGGTTCATTTTCCCAGAGTATTTTGGGATGTTGGTCGGTGGTCGGTACCATGGCGGGAAGGCGGCGTTGAGGATGTGTCGGCCGAAGGCCTAAGGTCCCGATAGGCCAGGGCTCGGGCTTTGGTTCTCGCCACTGTCGTAGCGCCCGCCATGATGAGAGTGGTAGCCATGGCTGGCCCCCTCCCCCACATCGCCATGGGTACGCCTATGGGCGTCGAGGGTGTCGCACACGTCACAATTGCGGCCGAGACGCTCATGCACCGGGACCACGGTGCGCAGCCTACCGCCTTGCGGCGCCTGGTGGACTGATGCGTCCTTGTCGGGTCACTTCGAGGGCGTGCGTTGGCTGGCGTCGAGATCGCGTCGTTGGGACAACGAGCTTTTGGCTTATTGCGCCACCGCATGCTCGAGTAGCGTGCGAATCCCTCGATGGGCCCGATGATCCTCGGGCGTTGCGGGCCTCAGAAGCCCACGAAGCAAGGCCGCCGCAGCAGCGATGTTCTAGCTTGCCCGGGCGAAGTGTGGGAAGGCTTCATCGTCCTCGATGATCCTCCAGTTCACATCGCGGACCATGGCGCGCACGCGCCCATCGTGTCCATGATGCTTGATCTCTCAATCGATCTTTGTACGTTCCTGCTCGGGCTGGAGTCGTGCTTTCTCAAGCTCTTGGTGCCAGGCGTTCAGCTACTCCATCCGCAAGTGGGGTGGAGCCCCTGTATCCCCCTCGATCTCGTCGTCGAGGTCATTTGTCGGGGTAGCCTCCTCCTCGTGGATGCTTTCGACATGTCCCTCGGGGGTACCTGCCATAAAACATTCACAAGAGGGTGACTCCGTTTCTTCCGTGAGGAGGTCATGGAAAGACTTCACGACATATTCGGTCATCCCTACAAACTCGTCGTTCGCGGGGAAAGGAGGCGCACATTGAGCCACAAGGTGGCCAACGGTCTCTGCGGCGTTGCAGAGACCGAACGGGAGCACTGTCGGGGCACTCCGGATGGGGTATTCCGAAGAGAGCGGCTCTCCTCCGGCAAGCTGCGCCATGACATTGGTGAACGAGAAGGTGAGGTGGCGCAAGTCCTCCCAGGACGGTCGGGGTCCTAGGAAGGCGCTGAGCTGGCGCTCTAACCTCCCATAGTCAAAGTCGAGGAGCTAGTCGCATCCGAGGGTGTGGGCCTCCGGTGCGTGTAGCTGCAGCTCCTCAAGTGCCTCGTTGATCGTGTTGAGGCCAGCGTAGTGAAGAGGTCGGACGGCGATGGGAGCCATTGCCAACTCTCCCTCCATCGTGATAACAAAGTCTAGGTCCCCAAAGTGCACGTGCGTGCCTAGGACCCAGCTGAGGTTGTGACTAGCCATCCGAGGCCTAGTGTGGATGTCGAAACGTGCCAAAGGCCCCTGCCAGGCATGCCAACTGTCGATGTTTAGAGTTGCCACCGACTAGTAAAATTCTAATATTGCACGTCTGGCTCGGATGGTGTGCTACGAGGACACGAGGTTTATACTAGTTCGGCCAGAATGTCCCTACGTCCAGTTCGTTGTTGCTGCTTGTGTTACTAGCACTAAAAGTTCGTAGCAGGGGTTACAAATGGTCGAGAGAGGAACTGGTCCTAAGTCTCTAGTGAGAGGAGCGAACGGGTGCCGAGAGCTCGGTCGCTTCTCGGCTGTGTGCTTGTGTGTTCTGGTCGGTTCAGGGTTCGATGGATTCGAGTCCCAATTGATGCGATGAGTTACGATGATCCTTATGGGACGCCCTGCTTTCCCTTTTATAAGCCAAGGGAAAGCATGGGTTATAGTGGAGGGAAAAGAGGAGAATGAGAAGGAGAAGAAGTCCTCCAGGATCGCCAGGTCCTTCTTTTCCTTCACGCGGGTCCCGCGACCCTATAGACGTCAATAGGGACAGCTCCACGTCGCGGCCCTATCCATCATTGGCACCATGTGCAGGCATCATCTCCCGGTCGTGGCGCTCCACTCCGTCCTGGCGGACATCGTGGTGAACTGACGCGCCTGTCAGTGCTCGTACGAGGGTTAGGCAGAACAGCACCGGTACGCCCAATGATGTTCCTGATGTGAAACCCCATGTCTGGCTCGTCACAACCATAGGTTATATCGGGGCGTGCCGGTCATCTCCCTAGTGTCAGAGCTTTGACCCAAGCCCATTCGCTTGGACCTAGAGTGGTTGGCGGCGGTATGGGTCTTCGTCAGGCGAGACGGATCCCCTGGCCTCGGGGTTGGTCGAGGCGGAGTCCCCCCCCCAGAGGCCGGGCAAGGCGGAGCGCAAACCCAAGGGTCGAGCGAGGCGGAGCCCGCCCTCAGAGATCGGGCGAGGCGGAGAGCAAACCCAAGGGTCGGGTGAAGCGGAGCCCACCCACAGAGGCCGGGCGAGGCGGAGCCCGCGGCCTCGGTGTCGGGCAAGGCGGAGCCCGCCCCCAGAGATCGGGCGAGGCAGAGCCCACGGCCTCGGTGTCGGGCGAGGTGGAGCCCGCCCTCTGAGGGCGGGCGAGGTGGAGCCCGCCCTCAGAGGTTGGGCGAGGCGGAGCCTACGGCCTCGGTGTCGGGTGACGCGATGCCCGCCCCCAGAGGTCGGGCGAGGCGGAGCCCCTGGCCTCGGTGTCGGGCGGGGCAAAGCCCGCCCTTAGACGTCGGGTGAGGCGGAGCCCGTGGCCTCGGTGTCGGACGAGGCAGAGCCCGTCCTCAGAGGTCGGGCAAGGCAGAGCCCACGGCCTCGGTGTCAGGCGAGGCGATGCCCGCCCCCAGAGACCGAGCGAGGCGGAGCCTGCCCTCATAGGTCGGGCGAGGCGGAGTCCGCGGCCTCGGTGTCGAGCGGGGCGGAGCCCGTCCTCAGACGTCGAGTGAGGCGGAGCCCACGGCCTCGGTGTTGGGTGAGGCGGAGCCCGCCCCCAGAGGCCAGGCGAGGTGGAGCTTGCGCACCTGGGGGTCGGTTGGAGCTGTAGTCGCGCTCTTGACTGCTCGGATGAATCAATGTTGATGGTTTGACTGCTCGGATGAATCAATGTTGATAGTTATTAGCTCCTTCTCTTTGGGTACCCTAGTATTAGTCCCCGACAAGTAATCCCAGAGTACGATCGGAAATTATTCTCTGAGGAGTGGAGTGCCAGACCTGAAAAAGGTATATCTGCTGAAATTGCTTTCAGCAAGAGCTCTCAAGACAAATTGCATGGACCATCTGAAGCAACGCCAATTGTGGATGGAGATCGAGGCAAGTCTCTTGATGACACAAATGATGATTTGGGAGCCAGAGAACCCTATATCAGAACTGACCCTGAGGTAAACTAGCTCTTCTAGATGTATCACTGAATTCTAGTATTAGTGGTTCCCATGGTTGAGGCCTGAGAAAATGTTGTTAGGAAGGCCTTGTAGGAGTTGTATCATATATATGATGCACGAACTTGTATATGTTGCTAGCTAAAGTAAGAATTTAATTGTCAGTACTATCATGCCCATACAATCCAGAGCAATAGATATCTTCTTTGTTAGAAGTATCAATGTATCTTGTATCATGTAAGTAAAGGCATGTTTGGATCCACTAGTGCTAAGAGTTTGGCAGATGATAGATAATAGGTGCTAATTATTGCTACCTAATTATTAGCAAGGGGCTATTTGAATCGACATGCTAATAGGTAGTTGGGTAATTGGTTGGAATATCCGGGGATGGCTAACGTCTCTTCTCCCCTCCCTCCTGGCACCTCACCTCCCCACAGCCAGCCGCCGGTGTCCACCACGGACCCGGCAGGCACCACCAAGGCCATGCCCTCTGCAGAGTGCAGGGCCGACCACCCTCCCCTCCTCCCAGGTGTTGTCCCCTTCGTCCCTATCACCTCTTGCTCGCCCGTTCAAGCCTGCTTGTTGATCTAGGCTGGAGTGCTGGAGCGACGACGGCCCCTCCTCTCCCGTCGACTTCGAGGAGGCTAGTCCTGTGTTGTCACCCTCCTGCTCTGTGCTCTGTTCACTTCGCCGATAAATCATACTATTAGCTAATTTATTGTGAGAGAAAAATACTGTTTGGTCGAAAAATTACAGCCAAGCGAACAGGGCGTTGTGCTGCTCTCCTCCCCTTCTCCTGCTACGGGCGCAGGGTCTCCTGGGAGCAGGACACCCTCGCTGGATGCGGTAGCGCCGCCTGCCGTGGTGCCTCAACATCCGCAGCGCCGCCACAGATCAGTGGTCCTCGGTTTCGTCTGCTCCATGGCTGGTACACGGTAGGTCCTTGTCAGACCTGTGTGGCTGATGTTCATCGTTCTGCGCATGGTTCTTGATGTCCAGTGCCTGCCAATTTAAGAAACAAATGTTTCAACTGCTTCTCTACTTCACACCCAGCATTAGAGTGTTGGCGTCGTGCATGCTGCTTCCGCTGCTGGCGTCTGGGCCATCGTGCATCTAGTTGCCCCACCCAATTAGAAGCACGCACTCCGCGGGCCAGGTCGAAGACGTCAGTTTGGCGCCGCATCTCCCAATCCCTGGCCAACACGTTGATGGTGCCTCGTGCAGCTTCAGCTGTTGGTAGGGTGTCGGTCTGGTGTTGCATATCTGCCTCACCTGCCATGTCTCCGGCTGCCACCCAGGCCATGGATGGAGAGGAGGGCCACTGGCAGCGTCGACGTCCTCATCGCCGGTGCAAGGCAAGGCAATTCTGGTTCTTTTGAGGACTGGTGGAACAGAGCTGATGAGATCGTCGATGGACAATTGTAACGAGGCATCAACTCATTCATTATCGTAGGGGCTTGGACACTGGAAACATAGGAACCAAATGTGTCTTCGATAGCTTTGCTGCCAATATGGCTACAGCCTTGCTTCTTGCTGAGGTGGAGGCCCAACTTTGGGCAATGCCTGGAGCGCGTGGTATGTCTTTCTTGTCAGACCTCGTTCCTAGGGTCTAGGTCATTCCAGGTTGTGGGTATTTGTAACAAAAGGGCGTGTATGTAATTTTGTGATCCTTTGGGTGTGTGGGTTCTTTGGCTATGTGCTTCTTCAAATGATGTTCTTTTGATGAAACTGGGATCTTTAGCTATGTGCTTCTTCAAAAAGGTCTTGTAGTAGTTTCTTCCAAGTTCAGACAGACTTCTCATTGATCTAATGCTTGCAGGCACTGAAATGATTTACATGTAATGAGTATATTATTTTCCATATTTGTCCCCGTTTCAGCTCTATTGATGAATTTTGTATGCTAGGTTTGTGAAGAATGTATTGGAGAAAGAGAGAGCTGTGCATTGGTGGAGAAACTTAATTATCAGAATGAAGACATCCATGTTTATTTTGTCCGTGGGAAAGAAGCACCAAAGTGTATTAAAGAAGCATGTAGTAAAGCTGTTGTTGTAGCAGATCGTCGGACTTCAAAGCGTTCCCGGAGAGCAACTTCTGGAAACTCAATCAGTTTGAAAGTCTCTGGTTCTACATCCATCTATCAGTTGAAACTCATGATATGGGAATCTTTAGGGGTATGCACACTGAATCTCAAATTCTGTGATCACAGTTCCTAATCGGTACCCCTGTTTCAAAGGTGTCACCTAGGCGTCGAGGCATACCCAACTGGCCAGGTCACCTTGGGGAACAGTGGCGCCTTGTCACACCCAGCTCTTGCCTGGATTCCTAGTTGCCTCTGAAACCATGATCTGTACTATATTTGTTTCCTTCTCCATATCTCAAAAGGGACTTGCATTCATTTTTGCCTTTTCATCTAGCTATGGGATGTGCTTTCTTGTTTTCTATTTTTATTCATGCATGTTTTTTTCAACTGCTCCAAATTATTCAAATAGCCTACCTGTGCTCTTGTTGCATTTAGATTGTTAAGGAGAACCAGAAACTTCACAAAGGCTCTGTTGAGATTGAAGATGACCTGGCTACTCTTTCTGATAAGGGTGTTTTTCCTGGGGATATTCTTTGGTTCAGAGACTCTGAAATGTACGAGAATCGTGACATAGCAGGTAAATAATAACAAAAAATGATGTGGCAAACCTTTTTTTTTTAAAAAAAAAAGAAAAAAAAAGAGAGGATGCTAATGGTTTTAAGCGTTTGCTGCTTATATGTTTCAGATGAAATTTCAGAACAGAAGGCTGATATGATACAGGTTGAGGAAGGGTTTCGAGGAACTCTGTTGACATCAGGTGTCTTTGTTCAGCTTTGTCAGGACATAACATTTAGTGAATGAGTTCCGCATATCTACCGACTTGCTGATTGAGCTTGCTAGGAGGTGATGGTGACTTGCTTATTCTTTGTTTTTATTTTATTATTACACATCGTTGCGTTCTCAATGAAGATATGCATATGCACTGTCAAAAATTAGCAGCTGTTTCAAACCCCTGTCATCTAGTACATATATTATTCACGTTCCAAACTATGCTCCATGGATGAAATCATTTTAGGAAACAACCGAGTTGAGATGTCAATTACTCACCACTGACCGCACTGCTACTCATTTCAATACCCTGTCTTTCAGCTTTGCATCTTTTGACTCTAACACATGGTCTGTTGTGATGCAGACATCTGAATTATGGTGGTTCTGGCAATCGCCCAGCTGGAAATTTTTGTCAACCCCTTCTCTCCATGCTCTCTCAAGCGATTGGCTGTTTAGGAGTAAAGTGGATGGTGCTCCTCCCGTAGTTCAGTCTTCCCTGATGTAATTATATGACTAGCAGGAAGTTGGCTGTTTCCGGCTGTGTGCTGCTGGCCTGCATGCGTAGTCTTTTGTTCTGGCTTCGTTGCGCGGGCTTCGAGTGACTTGCCCTGTACGGCTGTACCAGGTTGCACGCATGGCTATGAGGTTTGTTGAGAGGCTGGAGGAGCCTTGAACTAATGCTGAATTGATGTGTTTTCACCTTAGATGATGATATGTATGGTAGGAGTGTGTGTCCACCACTCACCTCACTGCTTGGGCCTCGGTGCATGCGTTGGCCTGTTGACCAGGCCAAAAACAATCGAAAAAAAAGAGGGATTGGGGTCTTCTATTATAAAGGGATCAAACCTAGAGTAAATTCAAACCATATTTGAAATCTGCCCACACAATAGCACTCAATTAAAACAGCGCATCAGCATCAAATGGTACAAGCATTTTTTTATACCTTATGGTTGATTTATTTGATTTAGGAAATGTTTACCTAAACTAAAATTCCAAATCTATCTTGCCTAAACCAGCACCAGCACCAACCAGCGAACAGGGTGTAAAAAATTAAGAAAACCGTTGATTTAATTGCACTTGGTACTGACATCTCAAAATCCAAAAAAAAAGGGCGTGACAAAATAAAAAACAAATTGGGTGTGATCGAAAGATGCGGCCACGTGCGATGGTGCTCAATGCGCTCTTGGCTTGTTGAAACGAGGCTGGAGCGCTGCGATGGTGCTCTAGGCAAGGGCCCGCGAGCTCTCGGGGAAAAACGAGGACGGAGGGAGTCAAAGACGTCGCGTCAGCTTTGCCGAGAGCTGCGGCTCTAGGTAGGAGGGGTGGAAGCATCCGAGGGAAGGTCGCCTGGTCACGTTGCTAGGCTGTACTCGTGGCCAAGGCATGGAGCTTTGCCAAAGTGAGCCGGAAGGGGAGCCGATTGGGCTGGATTCAGCCCAAGCTGGTTAGGGATGAGTAAAGGTTTTCATTTTACATACGAAGAGCATCTCAAGAGATCATCTAATTTGTTTTGTAAAGCTAAATATGGCTACTATTCGACAAAAAACGTCTCCAACAGATTGGCTAACCTGCTCTCTAAATTTAGTCGCTAGCCATCCCGGAATTTTTGCTTGCGATATTTGGATAGTCAGAATAGCTCGCTATCGCAGATTCAATGTTTCCTCATGCGCTCGTCAGCTCCTTCCCCGCATGTGGCGTCCTCTTCCCGCATGCACAGGTGCCTATTTTAGTTAAACCACAAACGACGTGGCATGTTAAAAAAATACACGACCGGTTTTAGAGAGTCTACTGTAGCAAGTAAAGATTTTGAGTACCTAAATTGATTTGGAGAGTCAATTTTCTAACTTTTCAATAGCCAAATTTAACTAGTCTCTTGGAGATGCTCTAAGGGCTTTTAAGAATAGATTATTAACTCCAAAATAAAACCAGCGCACGGCATGCATCTATGCGGTATGAGTGCACATGTTAAATCAGGAAGTTTGTTTGAAACATATGAGAACAGAGTTATCATTTTAGGAAATCTAGACAAACATATTCGAAGGCCTTATGACGAATTCGAGTGACGGCTCAAATTCAACCCATTTTATTTCAGAAAACAATTCGTTTTAAAGCAAAGCTGCATCTTGTGGTCATCTCCATGTCCACCATGCTCCATGGCTCGTTCAACCTTGCCTCGTAGAGTAACCTAGCTTATCAACTCAAGTAAAGCATCAATTCACTAGTTGTCACTCAATTATCAAAACCAAACTAGCGACTTTCAGCAGTGGCACTAATGTCTTGACGGACAATCCATCAAGGTCTCATGGGGCCTGTTTGATTGCCTGCAGCCGACGAGCAAGGAGCCCAATTGGTGCAGCAGCCCATGTTTGATAGCACGAAAGGGAGGATGGACCGACCTCACACGGACTTTAAAGCAGCCACGAGCCAGGCTCCAGGGAAACGGATTTCAATTCCATTTTTCCCGAGCCTGGCTTGCATGCCGCCAATGTTGGGCCACGTGGAGCAGCAGCTGTGAGAGTGGGATGACTTGGTCCTGATAGATAATTACAGGATCACTAGCCATAGATCTAGCAAACAAAACTGACATTTGGGATAAATAGCGAGTCCTAGAACATGAAGTAGTACGAGATTTACAGATAGAGCGAGAGAGAGAGAGGGGTTGCGGAGGTGCAAACCATCGGCCACCTTCGTAGAAGACGAGCTGGCCATGGAGTCGCTTGTCGGTGGCGCGGTGAAGCCCGACGGTGAAGACGCTGTCGTGGTGGCGACGGTGCAGAGGTGGCGGTGGCCGGTGGCGGAGCTTCCCGTCACTGGCAGCGCCCCCTCTCTAGATCGGCTAGGGTTAGGATGTAGGTGGGGCGTTTGGCGGCTCAGGTGAACCTCATGCCTTGTGCCCTAGCCCCCACCTCCCTTTTTATGGCGCTATACGATGGGGGCCACCAACCATGGAACGGTTGGACGCCCCCCATCAGGGCGCGGGTCCAAGGGCCCAATTGGCCGGGTGGAGATCATCTAACATTCTCCCCCTTGATCTCACCTTATGACTTAAACTCAACTTACTTACTTTATCTTGTTCCCATTCCATCATAGATCAGTGCATAGAGCGTGCCTCATCGTCATGGTCAGTTGCCATTAGATTAAACAGCTACAATGCACCTCTCTGTTTTGAAACAGATTCTCAACTAGGCCCTTATTGTCCAGAAATCATAGGCTTTCCCTTAAAACCATGCCGGCTAAGTGTTTTCTGAACACGCTGGGTGGTAAGCCTTTTGTAAGCGGATCCGCGAGCATCTTTTCTGTTCTTATATGCTCAAGACTAATTATATGATCCCGGACTTTGTCTTTCACAATATAATACTTTATGTCAATGTGTTTGGCAGCACCACTTGACTTATTGTTGTGAGCATAACATACTGTTGGATTATTATCGCAGTATAACTTGAGTGGTTTATGTATATCGTCTACCACTTTCAATCCGGGCATGAATTTCTTCAGCCAATACACCTGCCATGTGGCCTCATAACATGCTACAAACTCGGCATACATTGTGGACGATGTAGTTACGGTTTGCTTTGAGCTTTTCCACGATATAGCTCCTCCTGCGAGAGTGAATATGTATCCTGACATGGATTTTCTGTCATCTCCCGCATAATCAGAATCTGTATACCCCTCTATGTGCAGGGAATCAGATCTTTTGTACGTTAGCATGAGACCCTTCGTACCTTGTAGGTAACGCAAAACTTTCTTTACTAATTTCCAGTGTTCTATTCCTAGATTACTCTGATATCTGCCAAGTAACTCGGTAACAAATGCTAAGTCAGGGCAAGTATACACTTGAGCATACTGTAAACTTCCGACAGCTGAACTATATGGAACCGCTTTCATTTGATCGATCTCATATTGGTTCCTGGGACATTGAAATTTCCCATATCTGTCACCCTTGACTATGGGAGCAGTTGAAGACTTACAATTTTACATACTGTATTTCTTTAGAACTTTTTCTAAGTATGCCTTTTGTGATAATCCTAAAATCCCCTTTTCTCTATCTCGGTGAATCTCTATTCCTAGGACGAATGAAGCTTCACCGAAATCCTTCATATCAAACTTCGAGGACAAGAACTTTGTTTCTAGTAGTAGATTAACATCACTGCAAGTGTCGGGTTCACAAACCCGGGGTCCCTCGGGGACCGGCTTCCACGCTAAGGCACGGCCCAGGAAAACAACATGTAGTTCATGGGCCGGCCTAGGAGTCTAAAACACAACAGACCGAAAGGGCAGTCCGATCACCGACCGGAAGGTCTACCCAAAAGAACAAGCGCCCGCTCGTCAACTTCTTCGGCCCACCTATCCGACCAGAGCACTCGCTTCGAGCACCAGCCGCCTTCGGGCGGTCTCTCCGATCGGAAGGCCTGGCCCAAAACGTTGCTTCCTACTCCGACCCCACGACTCCGACCGAGGACCCGTAGGAAGCCTGCTTATCAAACTTCTCCGACTGGCGTGGCCAGGACCGACTGGGGCCATCCAACCGGGGACGCCCGCTCAGAAGGGACCAGGGGCGAACGAAGAAGGCAGTGCACAAAGTCAAACCACGATACTAGGACCATACCCTGTACGTCTGCAGGAATAGTGCTCCTCAACCGCCCTGACACAAACAGTATTGTAGGCGCCGATATTTGTATCTACAGTATTATAGGCGCCATTGAGCTGCCATACGGCAAAAAGCCCCCCACATACCTCTGAGCATCGATAGTGGGCGCCAGGATTCATCATACCTGGTACACATGGTAAGGCTCCTCACATACCAATAGTATTTTACAGGTACCGACGTCCACCCTTCCTGAAGAAGCCAACGCAACCTCCCATGTGCACCTGGCATTCTATAGTAACATCAACAGTATTGTGGGCGCCTACCATCATCGCTACCCTTGTCAGCGTGGGCAACAAGGCTTAGAAACATCTATACTCTCTCCCTCTCACCTATAAAGCCATCCCCTTCATCTATAAAAGGGGATGCGCTCCCTCCAACGGGGGGG